CGAGCGCTTCAAGAGCTGTCCTGCGTCTGACCTCAAAGTGCACAAGCGACCAACTTGAGCGTTGGCTGCGATTTTGAAGCTGAAATTACGTTCGGTGTGAACGCAGCATTAGGGGATCTGCAAACAATTTTTTTGACATCTGGCAGCCATTTATATCTTATGCAGAAAAAATTTTGGCAGATAATTTTGTGTAAAGGTCAAATATTGGTTCTTTATCACAAATGGTGCATTGTTTTGACTTATGTATGAATACATGATGGATTCATGTTATGTAGTAGATCCGGTAGAGGTGGGAAGGGATGGGAGGGATTTTGGGGGTGTGTGTTTTATTTTGTGTTTTTGTAAGTCTGTTCTTTTTTGTGGTTTATGTTTAAAAAATTATTAGTAAAAAGACCTTGATCAAAAAAAAAGTTCTGACCCCATTTGAAGAGCTAACAACTAATGTCAGCGCTGCCTCTTCTACTGCAGCTGATGTCATCCCCTCTATCCATGTCCTGATACAGTTTCTCAGTAAAGAGAGTGAAGATGATCAGGGGATCCAAACGACGAAAACCACTCTTCTGGATGCAGTCCGCAGACGTTTCAAGCACGTAGAATCTGAGGCCCTCTACAACTGTGGCAACGCTGCTGGATCCACGTTATGAAGACAAGTAAGGGATTTTATTTTAAATTGTACATTTATTTTGCCTAACCTGGTGTGTATGCGAAAAACTGTACTGTTTATAATGAGTTTGTCTTAGCGTATGTGATTGTATTAACACTGCATAAGATAAGATCAGGTGGCTTGTCAATATATACAAGACAGTGAAATGAGTCCTCTCCACTTCAGTGATGTCAAGCACATCACATACGTATAGCATACATACTAAAATATATTATTTATAACCAGTCAATAGAAACAAATAATTTTAAAAAAGTTGCTTCAAGAAATTGTTACTGAATCTCCATTTACATTATCATGACTGTGTGTTACTTTCTGTGAGCCCAATTGTGTGGGGAATGTGTGTGAAAGCTCTGAAATATACATTCTGACATAATTTTATATATTTTTTTATTTATGCCAGGTACTTCATCAATGCAGAAAACCTGGGAAATGCAAAGGCAGCATTAAAGGCAGCTGTGTTGAAAACAGAAGGACAGCTGAAGACCACCACACCTCCAGCTGATGAAACTGTGTCAGAGCCAATGAAGAAGACTCCACGGACGGAAGGTGCAAGCAGCAGCCTTGGCAGCATCTTCGACGAGATACTGGAGGAGAGCAGCACAGCAGCAGGTCCTYCTGAGCAGATCACCCCAGGGGTAATCATTGAAATGGAGAGCTACCTCTGTGAGACTCCTATTGAACGTAAGAACAATCCTTTACATTACTGGAGAGTCAACCAAGCACGATTTCCCACCCTGGCAGCAACAGCAGCCAAGTTCCTCTGTGCTCCTTGCACAAGTGTCAAGAGCGAGAGGCTCTTTAGCTCAGCATCTATTATCATTGAGGAGCACAGGAGCAAGCTAACAGCTCAGCATGCTGAAATGCTCATCTTCCTAAAAAAATAATCTGCGTATCATGCTTGGACTGCAGAAATCAGAGATGGCGCCATTGTTAGTTACGTAACTGACTAACTTTAGTATTTGTTAAAAGAGTGATGTGTTTATTTTGTTCACTATTGCTTGAGTGAAGACTAAGCAGTTGTTCCCAACATATCAGCAGCACCAGGCAGGCCCTGACAGGAAAAAAAATACTGAAGTGACCTTGAATTATTGTTTTGCACTTTAAAAATATATTATATATTTTTGGATTTATTGTAGGGGTGTAAGAAAATATCGATACACTGAAATATCGCGATATTTCATTTCCCCGATACTGTATCGATATTCTAAAGCCCTGTATCGATTTTTTATTAAGGTTTAAAATGTCAACTTTCCTGCCAGCCGTTCATTTTTATGTTGTAGTTCAGCCTCTGGCCGCTAGTTGGCAACAGCGAGCCAGCCACTTGACTCTTCCACTCCTAAAGAGCCACAGAGTTAGCGCTAGCTTGGTAGCAGAAAGCACAAATGGCAAAGTCAGAGACGGTTAGACCGGCACCCGCTGCCTTTAAAGCTGCAGTGTGGACTCATTTCGGGTTTCAAAATAAAGAAGGCAGTACTACGGAGTTTGATAAAGCCCATGCTGTTTGCAAAATCTGCCACACCAGGGTCAAATACTCAGGTAACACGACGAATCTTCGAGCTCACATGGCGAGACACCACAGCGATGTACAG